CAAATTGGGAGAAATCGTTAAAGAACAAGAATACATATTCAGAATATATAGAATATTATATTAACATATGTAGAATACTATCTGTTCCACATTACAATTTATAAAATAATTAGAATATCACATATTCATATTTTAAAATATCTGGCATATTGTGCTTCATGGAAGTGAAAGGTTTATGTAGAATTACAAGGTGTTTAACTGGTGAAAATATGTAGAATATGATACTAAAATATGTAGAATATGATAGTAAAATATGTAGAGTAGTATGTATTCTCATTAAAAATTCATAGAATCAGTAAAATAATATACATTCAAATTTCAAATGTGAAGAAAGCTATATGTAAAAGGATATATCATGGTTTATTCATTTTTACTTTGACTTCTTTGACACAAAAAAAATAGTTATTTGGAGTAGATATGAAGCAAAGAAAAAAAAAGATTTTATATGCGAATTAGAATCTGAATCTGATTATGTTGAACCATGTATTCTTGAGATCTTGATCCGATTTCCTTGATTCTGTAATGCTATGTGATTGAAAGCTTGATCAGGGAACATAATTAGAATCACAAAGTTGATAATATTAATCATAGTGAAAAAGAGGATTTTTAGAGTTCTTCAATTGCAAATCTCTCCTTTAATCAGAATGGGAGTAATCACAATGTTTAAGCATGAGAGGAATCTTATTGTTAAAATAAAAACTTAATCTCGATTTAACAGTTCTTCAATCGAACTGTAGATCAGGAAAAAAAGGATTTTTAGTGTTCATCGAGGTGGAGGGTTTTATACGTGAGAAAAACAAAGAAATGTTTGAATCATCATGCATATAAATTATACTATTATACATTACCTGGGATGAATTAATGTGAATCCGATTATGTATCCATTTGTTAGAATAAGAAATTTGGAATGTTTTTGATTCAAGATTAATTGATGCTCGAGCGGTTTCAGAATCAAAATCAGAATGAAAGGTTGATAAAATCAGACCGCTCAAATCTAAATCTGAAGGAAACAAAAGATGTTGATGATCGAGATTGAATCAAACAGGTTTTATTGTTTGTATCGAGATTACAGTTTTACGAATCAGAATGAAGAAGATTTGAAAGAATACGGAGTGTTTTTTTGCGACCTAGATGAAATAGACAGTAAAATCCCCTTACTGCCCCTCTGCGCTCTTATTCTAATCCTGAAGTTCCATTTAATTGCAAAAATGCCACCACCTCCTTGTACTTCCTTGTGGTGTAATCTGATTTAATTATAGCCTTAGATTATTCAAAATGAGTGGTCAAGATTTGGTCCCTTTGTCTCACAAAATACTATTGTTTCATATGAACCTAACCCCATATATATATATATATATATATATATATATATAAATATAAATATAAATATATATATATATATATATATATATATGTATATATATATATATATATATATATATATATATATATATATATAACCTCAAAAATGTTAAATTAACATATAACCTCAATAATTGGCAAGCTTGAACAAAAATGCTTAGTTATAAAACAACAAGAATGGGAGCATGCGATTTTGCGTTTTATTTATTATTATTTATTATTTTTTTATAGATTTTGCTATTTACCTTTCATGGTTGGTTAATAAGTCCAGACAATTTGCAACATACATCCATAATATACAAACATTCAATAAATATCACCATCACACATTGCTCAAATCCAAGTCCATTACATAATAAAATGAGTTACAATAAACTAATATTCTTTAAAATAACACAAAAAATCAATCATCTTAATCTTCTTCAGTCCCCTCGGGTTCCTCGATCTCATCTATTTGCTCAGGGGTATTTTGTAGAAATATATTGGGATTGAATTGAAAGTTAGAAATTGGTGGTGGTTGGAGGATAGGAATTGTGGCCGCTAATGAGTCAATATACCTTTTTTTTGCATTTGTTGCAAGTATTCTTGCACTTGGTGGGTTAATTCAACAAACTGAGAATCATTCGTACTTTGGTGTTGAGATTGAAAGGATTTGGAAGCCTATTGATTTGGAAATAAACTTATGTTCGGTGTTGGTTTCCTTCCTACTTCGTGAGTAAGTTAGTGTCTCGTCCTGATGGCATGACTTGGACATTAAAGCTCATTTATATCTCTGCCCTAGATGAGCACTTTTTTCATTTTTGGTGTAATCTTGTTGAATATTTTCGGAAAATAAATAAAACAATAAACATACATTAATCAAAACAAACAACTAAATTTAAACATTAAAATAATAATAATATACCTTAAACAAAACTTTAATAATAATCACATATTCAAACAAAGTATTAATTTCATTCTCAACTTACCCAATCTTCATTTGCTCAACATGTACACAAACCCGAGCCTTCTTTGCAGTGAATCTGTCTCCAACTCGCAATATGTTGTAACTCCTGCCCTTTTTGATCCTATAACAAGCCAATAACAATAAATAAGTGTTAATAAAAAATTTATATTATACAAATAAACTATATTACTTTTAAATGACTTCTTTCATCATATGAATTACAATCATGAGCACTTGTGTGTGAAAATTTCGCCCTACCACTTTTTTTCCGACATACGTCTATATCACAAGTTCAAACACAACAAGTCAATCATGTCATTCCAAGTATCATTTCCCAAATTATTTGGTGGATGTCTTCTTGCAGTTTCCATGCTCGTTCCTCTTTAAGAGATCCATTCTTTATTTCTTCTAAGATAATCCGTACCTTTATTACATGTTCCATGAATGCCAAGTGCTCCATTGAGTTCCAAGTTCTCTATTGAACTCAACTGCTCCATGCGATACGTCCAAATGCTCAAGTATCATTTAACAGGCCTCATGAAAACATCATTGTTCTTTGAAGGTGATCGAGACCCAAGAATCAACAAATTTAGCATGAAATAAGATTCTTTCAGAACTATCGATGGTGGGGTGTTGTAGGTAGCCAATATAACATGACAAAAAATATAAGTATTATTTAAGTTGTCTAATCGATTAAAGCTACCAACAACTAAACCTAGACAAACATTTCTAGGTTCTTTGGCAAACTCTGGATATATGTGATCAAAATCTTTCCATGACATCCCAATAATTGGATAACGCATGATAGAATCCATTGAGCATCCAATAGTATGTTAACTTATATCTTTAGCTGTGAATCTAGAGGTATACATTCATGGAAGATTTGGAGTCAAACAAAAGTACCTCAACACTTTTTGTGATACTTTATTCACCTTTATAGTTGCGTCAATCAATATACTCTCATTACAACTCTCATAATTCTTCATGGACTCATTGTCCTTCCAAAACAAAGCACAATCATATTTGCAAGCATGGATGGATTGATATCCTAACTCTTTCTTTCTAAACTTCTTATTAGCTTCCTAATATGCAGCTGAAATGTTACTGTTCGGGAAAGTAAATCTTATTAACGCTACATGTTGGTCAAACGAACTATCCATCATCTATTGAAGACTTTAATATGCTACAAAATTTCCAAAAAGTTTAGGGAATACATCTCACAATCAGGGTATGACTCGGTATTGAGCTCCTTAAAGAAAGCATAAAATATTAGGTCTACACCTCATCCCTCATCATCTCTCACTACTAGAAAACTTCGCTTTAATGACGTGCAAGAAATGACAATCACTGATAGAGGACGCGCATTGGTGCGTGTCGTAAAAAATAATGTCAGTTTTGCAAAATTTGAAGGGCAGAGGACACGCATTTGTGCGTGCCCCTAAAATTAGTGTCAGAAAATAAAAAAAAATAAATACGGAGCGCACCTTTCATAAAATGTGCGTCATCTAAATGTGTCACTTTATAACATTTTAAGGAAACATGTGTTTTTAAGGCTGGATTTCACCCACCTATTGAATCCCAAAAATTAAACACCCCGCCTCTTCCAATTAGCAAGAAAAAGCCCTATATCCTTGGTCGTATTCTTCTACTTCTTTATAGTTATCAATCAAAAACTATGCAACATTCTCTTCCATTTTGATTTAGATCGATAGTTCACTAAATATTAGGTATGAGTTTTTGGATAATGCTTTTGATGATATGATTCTAATGATGTATCATTTCGTTCGATTGGATGCATATTTACTATTAAATTTGGGGATATTATTTTATGCATCACTACCCTCTTCTGTTTCAATCATTCCTAGTTCATCATATAACAAGGCTTCAATGGTTTTATTAGCTAATGATCTCTTTCTAGATGTTAATCGATCTCCAGTTAATTCGTTCACCCCCTTTTCTTTAGGGTTTTCTGCTCCCCACATTTCTTGTTTCATGTTTGTCTCAACAAATTCTTTACTCATGTTATTCGATTCCCCCCCCCCCCCTTTCATTTCCATTTCTCTAGGGTTTGTTTGTTTGTTTGTTTTGTAATGTTTTGTGAACAAGCATCGATGTGATTCTAGTTTGTAGCTAAAAAACCATGAATTTGTCAGAGTGATCGGAAGAGGAAAAATAGAATATAGAAGAAGAAGAAGTAGAAGAAGAAGAAGAAGAAGAAGAAGAAGAAGAAGAAAGGTGAGGCGTTGGTGTGTCGCAATGGGGTTTATAGTGAGGTAATAGCGACATATCGATATAATTTTTTTTTTTAAATTTAATCGATTTATTTATAAAATGGCAAAACTGATTGCTGGATCATATTTCTACTGATTGGAATTGGTCTAATTTTACATTTGGGATCGTCAATTTGGTGTTTGGATCACCGATTTGGAGATTCGCGGGAAAACCATCAATCGGATAAAAAACTATGCTTCACCTCTTCGATTTAGTTTTTGAATTCCGATTCTATGATTAATGCTTCTAGTACATTCAATTGATTATATATTCCATATTTCTGTACTCCTATTCTACAATTCCTTCAATTTCCTATACCACAATTCCAGTGTCACCACTTTTGTTCCAGTTTTGCTTCATGAGCTCTTGTAAATGATAGGTTTGTATTTTTAACTAGAACAAGGGTATTTTTGTAATTTTCATGTCTACTGATGCTCTTTTTTTTTTGAGTTCCGGTCCTCTCACAGAGGAGGATGTTAATGGGAAGACATTATCAATTTGTATCTTCAATGCAGTCTTGTCTAAAGCAATGGATGATCCATTTGTGGTTCTAGAATCTGCATCAACACCTGTCACATCACCCCTAAGTGTTTTTATTGATCCACTGGAAACAGTTCACAAGCTGAATAAATATGGGAGCACTAATGCTGGAGTAAGTATGGGTGTGTTTGATTTTGATTACATTGACCCCCTTCATCGATTTGCTAAACCTGCACCTGCATTCCTAACTTCCTAACTGAGAGAAATAACAAGGGAAAATATCAGAGCCCTTATAAAGAAGGACTAAGAAGTTCAACTCGTAAAGACCCAACAGACAAATCTTCTTTTAGATTTCCGGAAACCCAATCAAAGAAGGCACATGTCGAAGATTTTCAAGATTCTCAATAAACTACCTTTGACATGCCACCTGTCTCTACAACTTCTCATCGGTCTATTGATCAAACTGTTTCTCCACTTTCATATACTAAGACAAGTTCTCACGAACATGAACAAGAACAACCCATTCCAAGCATCTCCACTGGATGAGTTTGAGACTTTTGCCAGGGTGGAAGTGGAACACAAGATAATGGCGAAGAGATTGATTCAAACTCAGCTGCTGCTGCAATGAAAGATGCCATAGAATGGAATCTGTGAACCAAGCATGTGCTTTTGGCTGGTAAAAATCTTTATATATATATCTACAAATAAAGAGTTTGAAGTTTGAGATTCACATCACATAATGATGAAATTTTCTTTTCTTTGGGGCAAGGAGCTTCTCCTAGACTTCTATACAAGTTCAGCCAAGTGTAAGCTAGACCAGATTATCATCTTCAGGTCAATTCTTTTCTTTGACTTCTGGTCATTTTAATATATTTTGTTGTCATTTTCTTTAAACTAAGAACAAAAGCCCAAACCTTTCTTTCTTTGTGGACGTTGGAAACATCAAGATTCATTGTAATACTTTAGAATTTTATTTGTAATAGGGACGGTGTGAGTGAGTCACAGTTCAACCAGGTGTTGAACATTGAACTGGACCAAATTATCGAGGTATTTGTATTTCTTACAATAGTTATATATAATAGTTTCTTATTTTGTTAAGTAAATATGATTTAAATGGTAATTATGGTGTGGTAGGCCTGCATATTCCTTGATGAGAAGTTGAACCCAAAGTTTCTAGTGATAATTGCTCAGAAGAATCACCACACCAAGTTTTTCCAGCAAGGATCTCCAGACAATGTCCAGCCTGGTAATATGTTATTACTCAATAAAATACTTCAATTTTAGAAATGAGATGGTTTAAAAGTGGAATTATTATTATTATAACAGGAACTGTGATCGATAACAAGGTCTATCATCCTCGCAACAATGACTTCTACATGTGCGCAAAGGAAGTAAGGGAAAGAGAACTTGCAAAAGCTTCTAGAAGCAAAGAATCCATAGAATAATGATGTTTAATTAATTTAACTTAATTTAATTAATCAGGTTGGCTGCATTTCTCTCCCTTTTGTAAGCATTGACCCTCATTGATCTTCCTGGTTTGACAAAAGTAGTTGTTAGTAAGTTTACACAATTACACCATTTACAATATTTTTCAATTTTGGTTAACTTCTGAACGAAGACTTTGACACAGGTCAACTACAGGACCTGGTGATCCCAGTTACAAACTTTCAAAATGAAGATAAAGGATTGATGGTGTTGGCATGTGATGTTTTTGATCTTCCCATTCGGAAGGATATTATCCACCGTGTTGTAAGATGGCAACTTACAAAAAGACAACAAGTATTTTTTTTTTCATGAATTTAGAAACTTAGTTATTCTAGAATTTTATATCTTCCTCATTTGTCTTACCCAAAAAGGTTACAATCTCTCGTTTGTGAAAAAGACACGAATGCCCTCATCCTCACTGAATTGTTATAGAAATATTCTTTAGTTTTATATAATATTGAGTTTTTGTTTATGGTCATTTTTGTAATTCGCTTTTTTTATTTGATTTCAGCTCCTAAAAGTATTGGGACATAACACAGCAGACAGAGTTTTGTTAGATGCTCCTTATAGTGGTATTGGGGTAACCATAAAAGCTTTATATGGTTTTTTTTAATAAGAAGATTTATATATTTATTTATTTTTAATGATTTTTACAGGTTATATCTAAAGATGAATCTATCAAAACCTCTAAAACTGTTGTTGATGTACAAAACTTCTCACGTCTACAAAAGGTACCCAAACACTTTCTATCAATTAATCTAGTAACCTTTATAAGAGTTATTCTTTTTGACGACTAAATATTTATTTTTAAACATCTTTTATCTGAGTCCTTGTGATATTGTAGGATGAAGATGTTATAGACTATGCACCAAAGAAGAGGGATGTAAAACTTGTGCCATGTGGACTAGACTTTGGACGCCCAAGGTATCTATTTATTGATTTTTTTTTTTAAAAATGATGAATATATTTGTGTCTAAAAGAATTTGTATTATTTTTTTGAAGGTTTGTTCGAATTAGAGAACGTAGATTTCATCGATCTTTGAAAAATACAAGACGTTTCTACCCTCATGTCCTTAACATGCATGGATGGGTTTTTTGTTGAAAAGGTATCACATTAATTTTATTGATTTTTTTATTATTGCATCATTGAAAGTATGATAAACCCTAATTGGATTATTTGATATTGTAGTTGAAGAAAATGAGTAATTCAAAGGGAGTTTCGGCAGCATCTGAAGTAGAACAAGAGGAGGAGGTGGAAGAAGAAGTTTCTGAGATGGAAGAAGTAGAAATTCCTCCTCAACAACAAAAGCAAGAGTCAAATGTTCTTAAAAGGAAGTTCCAAGATAAGCCTGCCACCTTTGAGAATAGGAAGAAGTATAAACCTCCTGCTAGAGAACATCTCAAAAGCCAGGTTACCTCAATACTTTCATTATTTTATTAATTTATCCACTTAAATTTAATATAAGAAAAATGCTGATCCTTTTTTTTTTTCAGGGAAGAGAAGAGAGAAGCTCTTACAGAAGCAAAGAAGAAAGCAAAATCCTCATTCTCAAGCAAGAAAGGTAGAGACAGGGTATGAATATGATCTCATATGTGGACCCCACACCCACTCAATCACTACCTCCTTGTACTACTACTACTAATATGGTAGACGTTTTCATTAAGAGGAAGAATCCGATAACATGGAAGATGATGGTAATATGTTAAATCTGTATTTAAATTATTTAAAACTTAAATTTATTTTATTATTATTTATTTATTTGTTTTTAAGGCTTGACGGATGCATCTTTATCAAAGGAGACAATCGAAAACACCAATTAAGGGGCATTGGGCATGGCATTGCAGCTGCAAGAATGGATGCAAAGTTAAACAATGCAGGGTGGATTAGTGAACAAATGGGTGGTGTTAGGTTGGATTACATGTATCATTTTAAATAAAATAAGTGGAAAAAAAAAGAAAAGAAAATGAGTAATATTTATATTCTTTATACTTGCTGTTATTTGGAATATTTGAAAGATCTTGAAGAGAAAGTTAGTTAGAAGGCGTCACCATAAGAAACAAACATAATTTATTTATGGAATCTAACATTGGTTTTTCTTTGCTCTCTGTATTCACTATCATTGGTAACTTTTTTTACTTTTCAATTGATAAAGTACTCAGTTTATCAAAAAAATGTAATCAGATAGTAATGTTGATGATGATACAGGAATCAGTTTATCAACATAGTTTATTTATGGAATCTAAACATAGTTTACTGTGGATGCTGAAGTTGGTGGTGGGAGCTCTGGAAACAAGATGCCAACTCTAGAGGAATATGGTACCACTTTGACAAAGCTATCAGAAGAGGTGCTTCTATCAATGTATTAACAACAGTGGTAAGTAAAATCTGAATATTATGAAACTCTTTTGATTAAACCTAGCTTATTGACCTGTAACTGATTTAACATTAATTTATTTATGCAGGTTTTGAAGTTTTTGATGGAAAAGAATAGTGTTAGTGCTCTTCATAGAAAAGTATGTTGTTATTTTAGGAAATTTGGCTAATAATTTAGTTAATTATATAAAAAATGTATTACATCGCTTTTACATTTGTTGATAATATTCATCGCTTTCACATTTGATTATTTGTATGACATTAATTTTTGTGCAATGTAGTGTATTTTTTATATATGGTATTTTATTATCTATTATTAGACATGAAATGCAAATTTAATTTGAAAATTAATAAATCTATAAATAATTTTTTTTTTCAAAAATTTAAAATTACGATACGCAAAAATGTGTGTCATATTCATTTATGACATGGCCTTTCTTGACAGCGGCTTTAATGATACGCATCGTGTATCATAAATGCGTGTCGTAAATGCGCGTCGTCTATAGACGACGTGCAAAATCGTGTCGTCTCTCGTTATGACAGGGCCTTCCTTGACAAGCATTTGCGCGTCGTCTGAACGTTTTACGACACGCATTGCGCGTCGTAAAAGGCTGTTTTTCTAGTAGTGATCTATTTTCTTCATTTGTATTTTGTTCTGCCATAAAATCATCAATTACATAAAAAATCTCATTAGTTCTTCGTGTGTTTATTCTTGGAATCGAATTTTAGTCTAAGTCTACAACAACAGATTTCTCACCATGATGAACCCATTTAGTATACGATTCTACAAACTCACGGTCACGTATGTAGGCATAAATCATAGGCAACAACTCTTAATATATATTCACACACTTTGTACATGGGCAACACATTGTGCTTTTAGACTTGACATGTTTCTCAACAATCTCCATAGAGTAAGACCTTCTAAGAATTTAGGATCCATTTGGTTCTTCTCACTAATCCAATTATTATCGATCATCACTATTGTTTCATTATTCAAAATTACATTGTATACACAGTAATTGAAAGTTAGATTATATTTTGGCTATTAAACATAAGTTAGAGTTTAAAGTTTACTCCATGTGAAATAAAAATCGGACAAAATTGATAGAATATTCATAAGTATATAAAGAAATATGTACTTAAGAAGTAAAAATCGGATAGAATGGATAGAGTATTCATTACGGTGAGCTTTTAAACCCACTTTTTAAATACATTGTCTCATATGTGTGTAACATCCCGAAATATCAAGAGTAGAGTTGAAGGGCTAAAAGAGTAAATTGGGAAAGAGTGACTCGGCGAGTCCATGTGCGGACTCGGCGAGTAGAGTCGCGACTTGGCCACGTGTTAAGTGGCCGACTCGGCGAGTAGGCGCTGAGTGGAGAAAACCCTAATTCTCGCGGTTGAGCCTTATATAAAGATCATTATGTTTCCCTCTCAGCCTCTTTATCACCCCTTGAGCCCCAGAAGACCCTAAATCACGAAGAAGCACCATTGTTGGATGGATTGGAGCTTGGAGAATGTATTTGTGACAGAGTTTTGGGAGATTGAAGGCTTGGAGCAAGGGGCTTTGTTTGAATTCGAGTCTCATTTCAATTGGGTCATTCCTTTGAGGTAATATCTCGTTTTTTTGAGCTGCTATTTCTTAGATGCATCATTTTGGGGGTGTTGGAGATCATATCTTTGGATGTATTGGAGTTTAGAGGTTAGATCTGAGGTTGCTACCTCAGATCTGGAAGGGAGAAGGTCTAGAGTGCATGAAAGTCCCTGTTTGTGAGTGGTTGATGGAGCCATCTTGTCCCAAATCCTAGCCCAATGTGCAAACGACTTAGATCTCTTTGGATTCACGTAAAGTTTGCCACTTTACGTGATGGATGGGTTGTAGGAGGCTAGATCTATGTTTTGGATCAATTGCATGGCCTGAAGTGCTTCTGAATGGATTCAGAACGATGGTAATCGGCGAGTCACATGGGTCGATTCGACAAGTTGCTTGAAGATGGTCTGGAACTCGACGAGTTGGAAGAACAACTCGGCGAGTAGGTTGAATATAGCCTTGGACTCGACAAGTCCATTTGGACTCGGCGAGTCTTGTTGAAGAGTCCTAAATATTCTCTGGTTGAGTCGAGAATCGGTGAGTCGAGGGATGACTCGGTGAGTCGTGTGCGAGTGGACTCAGAGTTGTTGGACTCGGCGAGTCTCGGGGTGACTCGGCGAGTTAGGTCGCAGATTGAGTGAAAATCTGATTATGGGAACTCGACGAGTCACAGTGTTGACTCGGCGAGTAGGGTCAGTCAGGGGTTGACTTGGACTGAGGACTTTGATTTCGACCAAGGGTTGGCCGTTGACTTTTAGGGTTTGGTCAGCGACGTGGCCTTTGGGCCAAGAGAGAGGTAAAATAGTCTTTTACCCATAAGAGGGTGTTATGAGAGGATTTATTCTAGTCTCGAGAGTTGTATTCATGAGAGTATTTGCCTTACGTGTTAGGCGGTGGCGAGTTCGAGATTCAAGTGTGGGGATATCTGCTTTTTGCTTGCCAGGTGAGTCTTCTCACTATACTTTACCTTGAGTAGGTAACCAGAGTTATGTGATCAGAGTATTTATATGCTATATGTACGTGATGTGTTGTACTGCATTATTTCTATGTGATTTATGTTGTGCATGTTTATAGAGTTGGAACCGGAAGGTTCCTAGAGTTAGAACTTGAGGGTTCACAGAGTTTGGGTGCACGGACCCATAAAGTTATAGCCTCGAGTGGCTAATATGTGTTATGTGTGGTATTTTGGGGAACTCACTAAGATTCGTGCTTACAGTGTTTTGTGTGATGTTTTTCAGGTTTCTTTCAGTATCACGGGACGGCACCGGCTTGATTGTACACACCAGAGAAAGAGTCATATTTTGGAGGATCCTGGTTTTCTATGCAAGTGAAAATGGAGTCATGTTTTGTAAATCGACTATGAATGAGATTTTAAACAAGTGTTTCTAAGAATAAAATGATTATTTTAAATGAAAATTTTGTCTTGAAATTTTTGGTGTTACAATGTGAATGTGTATTGCATGATTGTTTGTTTGAGAAAAATTCAGCAATACTTCCTCTTAGCTCCCATGTATATAAAGAAAAATATACCTGATGAGTAAAGAGAAAACGACAACCAAATTTTTCTTAAACAAACAATCATGTCATACACATTAATATCCTAAATGAGATTAACTATTAAAAAACAACCCCATAAAGGGAACAACCAGAAATTAATTTCTAAATCCATTTCGGTTGGGTATTTCTATACTCCTATTAATTTATAAAGAAGAGAGTTCAACTAAAAATCAATGATTCAATGTGTTTTCGTTCCTTTTTTATTTTCTATTATAAAGTCATACTTTTAATAGCAACATATTTTGATTAGTTTGTTTTATCTTAAAAATATAAAAAAGAAATGAAAATAGAATGCTTTAATAAACAAACTAATACAAGAACGTTACTATTAACAACCTTCATAGTTAGGTTTACTTTAATAGCAAAGCACATTTATTAGGTTGTTTCTTCAAGTTTTCTATTTTAACTTATTTTTCATATTTATATTATTTATTGCATCTTCTTTTTGTTTTTTCTATTATAACATTGTACTTTGCATACTTTTTTATTTTTTCTACTATAACAATTTAACATTGTTTTTTTTTCATTTATAAATCATAACATTGTACTTTAAACAATCATGTTACTTAATTAAGCCAACATTATAATGATTGCAATTAAGTCATTAACAATATTAAGGATTTTCAAATCATATTACCATTGAAATGAAAACATATTAGGCACCCACCTATCAAGTACTTTAGAATTCAAACCAATAGCAACTGTTCATTCAGCATTCACTTACAAAACAAATTCAACACTTTTCATGAAAATAGAAAGATATTAAACACTTATTAATCAAACACTTTTTCAATTTAACCTTTTATCAACATGTAACTAAGCACTTACCACGAAACTAATTAGAAACACTTTAAACACTTATCAATTAAGCACTTTATCACTTCATCTTATATGAACTCAAAATAGTAAACCTAAATAATTAAGACAATAATACATATTATACATTTTATACATCCAAAACAACTCAACGTAAAAATTACCTAATAAAAGACTCTAAATACATAAAAACATCGCTACATATAAGACAAAACGAAAACAAAAGCTAGAAACAATACATGTTCTCATCACTTTATGACTTCATCTTATATGAACTCAAAATAGTAAACCTAAATAATTAAGACAATAATACATATTATACGTTTTATACATCTAAGACAACAACTCAACATACAAATTACCTAATAAGAGATTCTAAATACATAAAAACATCACTAAATTGGAGATAAAACGAAAACAAAACCTAGAAACAATTCGTGTTCTTCCTACTATGGTACGGAGATTATGGTGGTGGCTGGCAACAATAGTCCTCCAATGGTGACCCGTGGTAAACAGAAAAAACCAAAATAAGAAAAAACTTGTGAAATCAAAAACCTTACCCTTTGTTGGTGGTGAAGGAGACTGGTTGGAAGGAGATCGTCATTGTTGATGTTCTTTTGGTGACACAAACTTACTTCTTCCGGTGACAGCCTTACCGAAAAGCAAAGAAAAGGCCGAAAATCATTTACCCAAATCTTAAAATCCAACCAGAAAAAGAGTGAAATCGAAAATGAGGAGTGGTCTAGAACTAAAGTTGGGTGGTCATCGGCATCGATCGTCGTTGAGTGATCGAGAGACAAAGCTTGTTGGGTGCGGCGTTCCAGATGAACTTGAATGTTCCTCCTTTTAAGGTTAAAACCAATGCCAAAGACATGTTGTTGATATAGGGTTAAAGAAAACCATGTCGTATTGTATTTCTCGCAAAGAAAAAAAATGATTAATTTTTTTTTTGTGTCGACGACTAATTGGGATAGAGTGCACGCGAATTGCCATGTTCTGTGTCGACGACTTGTCTTTAGGATTGCTTCCTAAAAAATGACATTGTTTCTGTTTTTCTGCACCACCGAATATAAATAAATGCAAATTATAATTTATGGAAAATATACCTACGACATGTCATCGGCATAGCTTTTGAAAACCCACGTAAATACTTTACATTCCAGCGTTGATAAGTCGTCGACATAGATACCAATGTTTGACAAC